AATTATTGCAACGTTTGACACGCCATATTAAATGTTTATTTAAAATTCATATGATGTGTTTATACTGTAAATGAAAAAAAAAAGCAGTAACAACACTTTTGTTTTGAGTTTTCGTTTTCCAAAAAATGTGACAATTTCCGATAATGACTAATTTACAATCTTTTGTAATGCTCATTATCATTGGGCCTATACACCGATATATAATGCTAGTCGCGCGTGTAGTGACGTCTTTTCAAGCTGGGGATTATCGTTGCTATTTCTAGACGTAAACAAAGTATCACAGATGAGAGATTACCACAAACACATAAACAGGCTTCACACACCGACATCTTAGTTTTATTAAACGTAGTAACAAAGCTAACAAAAAATTATCACAGTAAATATTGAAAAAACGAGAACAGTTTCGCGTCTGCAACGTAGGTCTACGGGATTTTGCTAGATTTTAAACGCTGGATCATAGCTTACATGCATGATTATGATCAGCAGCACAGATTGATCGTAGTAAAATAGCCATAAACTAGAACATCGCATTTTATATAGTTAAATGGTAAAAATTAATGACACTAGTACAAATCCAATACAACTCACCCCTAGTTGAACCGGATAAGCGGCTAGAACATTTCTTCGTATTTAACGCATGCGCACCAAGTTCTTAACTCATTTGTAGCCTAGAGGGGGTACGCAAATTGACGCTTGACTACGGGAAAATCGGATATGATGCAAAATTCCACGAAACCCCAGAAATACACCACATTTTCAAAACCCTCTTGGGACCGTTCTGTGAAATATATCGTAAACCAAATATACCGTTTTCTTCAAAATAGCTTGGACTACTTATGTTTGGAGTTAATTATTCAGCTTTAAGCGTTAATTCTCCAGGGTGAATTATACAGAAACTAATGGTCAAAATGCTGATGTTTGTGTGTTTGACCCCAAATATCTTCATAACTAGATTTTCCCCAGATATAACAGATATACAAGAAGGTGATCGCACTGGCTACGTTAAACAAGGAAGGTTTCAGCGGTTTTTTCGTACTCGAATTGCTGATATATGCAGAAAAATAGCTACGTTTAGCCGTGTAATCATTTCGTTCGGAGGAACGATAACAGAGTTATTTGCCCCTACTACACTTATTTTGGAGGGGTCAATTAACAAAAACGGGAATTAAATATACATTAAATGAATAAAATATTGATAGTTTTGATGATCAATGCTTAGTTTTACTCATATGATATTCAAATTATCGGTTACAAGTTTTAACTTTCATTAAACTAATTCAACAGATACTATGAAGGAGGATAAAGGAGACTTTTTTTATTGTAACTCTGAAGCTAAAGTAAAGTAAGTGAAGTAAATTTTGAGCGTCACTTATGTTGGAATGGAATTAGATCTTGTTATTTTCCAAGTTACTATGTTAGGGATCAAATGACAGGATAATGCTCCGAAGTTCAAACTGATCGACCTGATTGACCTGATCGAATGAATCTTATTTAGTCAGAGTATGGCCGATACATCTGTATCGTTACCTGTCTGTAAAGGGAAGGTTGAGCCCTTCCATTGCATATCGTAATCACAATAATAGATGACAGATTATTTCTGCTTGAAAATCACTCATGTCTCCAATACAGATTACCCTTCCTTTTTTTGAGAGAACGTTATGTATAATTACGCTTAAAAACCTGTGTGTTGGTTGTCATTCATAAACATTTCAAAATCAGGCATTAACGTGGGGAATTTAGAACATCTCTTATAAGTATACATTTTCAAATTATGTCTATTTGAGATGCTCATATGAACACGGTATTGCACTCTGAGATTGATATTTTTTGTTATCAGATGATTTTAACGATGAATTAAGAACGAGGTAATTCATTTTAGCATATCTACATGTAACATGGTTCGTTTTTTCTTTTCCGTATATCTTATCGACACATATAGCGCATGTACATTCATTGTAATCTGTTAAAGACGTTACTATTCACGGACGTCCTCACTATGTGTATGTTTATAATGTCATCACTTTTGACGTCGTGAGTATGTGAACTTTATTTACTGTGACGCAATTCCAATAAGTTAAAGCTGCCTTGCCCGGAGTTCATGAAACGATCAAAAATCTAAAACTGTCTTACTTTTGACTTAGCCAATAACTGTTAGTGTCATGGACAGTAACGTCATACGTGATTGGCTAAAATTGTCTCATGGTCCCGGGGCATAAACATGATCAAGATTAGCGAAAGTCCAAGCGTGGGATACAGTTTCCGGTGTTTTTTTTAATATCAGAACAAACAAACGTTCTTTGGATACGTATTACTGAAATAGATATATAAGCAAAGCAGTAATAACAACAGTGCTTGCAAATGTATTTGTCAACTTTTCAGAGCGATCCGTCAATTTTGCAAGACAAAATGATGAATATTTACACAATATACAATGTATAATACAGATAAACAGTCACCAGGAAACAATAAAACATCATAAAATACATAAAAAAAAAGAAAAAAAAGTAACCAATTTGATGATGTTTCGTATATCTCATCGGTTAGCTTATAAATAAGACTCATTTATTTGAAAACGCAAGGTCATTCATTTTAATAAACTTGGTAGCCCTTTATCATAGCATCAATCTAGTCATTATGGTTATTTAGAAGAGCTCTTTAAAGTTTTAAACATATTTGACCCCTGTGACCTTGAATATGTGTGAAGGTCATTTATTTGAACAAACTGATAAGTCCTTTATCCCAACATGCTACTGACAAAATATCTACGTCCTGGTCTTTTTGGGTATTGAAAATAAGTTGTTTAAAGCTGTTTTAAGACAATTGTACCCTGTTACCTTGAATATTAGTGAAGGTTACCTATTTGAACAAACTTAGTAGCCCTTTATCCCGGCATGCTACTGGCCGAATATCATCACCCTGTCCTTTTTGGTATTTAGGAGAAGTTGTTTAAATATTTTAATATATTTAACCCCTATGACCTTTGATATGTGCGAAGGTCATTTATTTGAACAAACCTTGTAGCCCTTCATCCCAGCATATTACTGGCCATCTATCATCACCCTATACGTCTTGGTTGAATACATATTTGATCCATGTGACCTGGTCAAGGTCATTCATTTGCACAAACATGGTAGCCCTTTATCCAAGCATCTCAAAGGGCAAATATTATCACCATAGGCTTCTTGGTTATTCAGAACATGGTTGTTTAATTTTTTTAAACATATTTGACCCCTGTAACCTTGAATATACGTAAAATCATTTATTTGAACAAACTTGGCAGCCCTTCATGCAAGAATGCCACTTGCCAAATATCATCATTCTAGGCCTTTTGGTTACTGAGAAGAAGTTATTTTAAGCAAAGAGTTTACGAAGGACGACGGTCGCCGCGCCATGACATAAGCTCACTTACCCTCCGGGCAGGCTATAAACTGCGAGAGACGTTTATCTACGTACAGCGAAAACAATTTTCATGATTTTTGATAAGAAAAAAATTCAATACGACATGCAAAGTAGAAATTATCTTGAGAATGTGATGCGACTTTTTAATTTACTGCTTAAGAAAATAAAGGAAACAGAACATAAACGTTCATGGAAAAAAAAATGCTGTTTTATTTCTATTTTTCAAATTTTGATTAAAATAACATACATTTTCAGTGAAAAAATCCATCTCATACAATTTGGTATTTGGTGCATGAAATTTCATTCAGAGATTATTATACTGTGACGTCATGTCGTACTCAATCGGCCTTCATCGATCATTCACTTCAAAAAGAGCAGGCATCAGTCTACGTGTACATTTATTTTTCAAAGCTAAAAATTCATAAGCTTTTGATTACTATTTGTTTCCAAACTGAACGGAATAGTAAACATTTTCAAATTATTTACAAAATTTATTTAACCACTCACAAAAGAAACAACTGATGATATCAACAACGGGTTTTTTCGGTCAAACACGAATTTTAACGCTATTTTTCACCAACGTATTTCTTGTTTACACCGCGTGCCAATTCGTAACATGTAACACAAAAACTGCTTGATTGTATCTGCCTTACCTACCTGTTATACCTCGATGACTTACAACGATTGAAGTGGGGCTGATCGGTTTTCATTCATGCCACGACCGTAATCTCCGACTAAACCGTTTAAATTGAGTATGAAATTCATTTTATGATACAATGTACTATTTTCGAGGCGATTTTCTAGATGAGTTGTTTTTATAGACGATATTGTCAGTACACATTTCTAGTGTTGTTCTCGCCAAACTTTTCATTCATTTACTAAAACCCTGATAATAATTAATGTTCACAACCAGTATACTAGTATTTTATATAGTTAATGTCACATTATTGTTCCATCTTTAACTTCTGTTTACGGCATGGTCGGACGGGAGTGACTCGCAGTCTTTACAGACACAAACAACTAAATTAACTTACATTTATATATTAATTAAGATGATTTTTGCAATAGTGAGCTTTTGAAAACAAGTTAACCAGGGTGATTAATGCTTACATAAGTATATTTCATGACCTAACCCAGGTTCCTAGGACTAGCCATGCCATATACATAACACATATTTCAGCCGGATTTGCATGGTTATCAAACAGTAATTGACATATCACGTACCGAAATTGTTTTAGAAGGTCATTATGTGTAGATATAAGATAATTTACATGTACGTACTGTACACGCAGATATCATGTAAACAAAGCATTCTTACCTTTTACCAAGTACCTGTTTATTGCCAAGTAATTGGTACATTTTTACGGTAATGCACGTTTTCTCCTCGATTACGTTACTTGCAATGTTGATGACACCAATTCAAAATAAGTATGACACCCTTATTGTTGCGGTATAAGGTTTTCAGAAAGTAATGGCATGTACAATTGTATACAAATAGTGCATTTTAATAGAAATTTGGTAAATAAACATTTTTCAAAACACGAACCTTCAATTAATTTTAAACCTAATTAATAAAGTTACACCAACAAATGTATTTAATCATGACAGATGCTGTGACACTGACCGGGTCGTCTGAGTACGCTGTCCCCGGGAGTGACTTTACTCTGACGTGTGACGTACCAGAGGAGGCCCGTTTAGTTAAGTTGTTCCGCCGTCCTGACGTGTCTACTCGAGTAAGTTTTATTGGCGTAGCTAGTAGGCGATGTAGCGGCCCGCTCGGCCTCTGTACACCAAATGTCTGTTCCTGTGTGACGTCGACTCGAAGTAGTGGTTCAGTGTTCCGGTGGGTCATACAGCCACAGACGGGAGATCATGGATCGGTGTGGTTCTGTAGACGTATCAACAATAACCTGCCTGACCAAATACTGGACAGTCCGGACTTCACACTCAATGTGGCAGGTAGGTAATTTATACTCACCATATGCGTTTACGTACATGATAGATTATGCCATTTTTTTTTAATTCAATTATTTCATGAGTCAAATTATTGTATCTTTTATTTCAAATAACAATGGTAAACAGTTCAATACGTATTACAAATATAACTGAGATATGATGCTTAAAGAATCAGCGTCTGAACAACCGAAAAGCACAGGGTCCCGATAATTAGACACTAATATGATGGGATGGGTGTTAACTAATTTGTAGAAATAAATTACTTTCAACCATTTTCAAGGTCACTGGAGTCGAATGTAAAAATCTGTAAACGAGTTATTTATCAATAGGAGGTCTAGGTTGATATCCATTCATGCATATATATGTATAACATCTGGACGAAGAAACTTTCAAGCCAATGTATACGAGTCTGATACGCACACATCTAGGTTTTTCATGTCCTGTTTGGTCTCCATATAAAGCCAAATAAATAGAAAAATCGAAGGGGTACAGAAAAGAGCTCCAAACCGCTTCCTGCATTATAAAACCTAACCTACAAAGAAAGACTAAACAAGTTGAAATTACCTACACTAGCGTATAGACGACACCGCGTGGATATAATCGAAACATTCCAGATAGTGCAGGGAATAACAAAATGTGGAACAATGTAACGGAAAGAAACAGCACCAGAGGCCACTCATTTAAGATAAACCAACAAGATTTCACATCTAAAAGAAAAAAAAAACTATTTTACAGTCAGAGTGGTGACGTTTGAATAATTTACCATCGGAGGTGGCAAACGCACGATCCTTAAGAATAGACTGGATAAATGCTGGAAAAATCAGGAAATATAATATAACTTTAGAACACCGGTTGAAAACTGACTTAAAGTTCGGTGCGATACAATGATCGAGTCCAGTGGAGAGGACTTATAGAGGTCCTGTACTGGAAACTAGCTCTGACTCTAAGTAAGTAATGTATTTATATATATATGAACAAATGACAAGATAATTTTAGTGCCTCCCTAGTGGTTTCACCTCGTTCATCAGGGGATCTGTTAACTTATGTTGACATGGCAACATCCAGACACATAATCGTATCAAAGGTTACTTGACTCAAATTAGGTGACAATTTGTGTATAGCAATATCAGCCCGGTAATATGCTTGGATGAAGTCAAGTTTGTTTGAGCGAATTCCTTTCCACACTTCCAAGAGGCAAAATATGTTATACCTTTTAGTTTGCGTCTTTTGAATAACCAGCAAGTGAGAATCATTATATTTGATCAGTTGTATGCTTGGGCGAAGAGCTACTCTATTCGTTCAGATTATTGTCCCCTTTTGCATGTCATGGGGTCAAATGTGTTTAAACAGTTTATTCGAGTTCTGTAAACCAAACCGTCTCTGTTGCATATTTATCTACATTAGCATTGTGAGACAAATGTCTCCCTTATTTCTTCAAATAAACTTTATTGACTCAATTCAAATACACTGAGATAAGAAATATCATAACATGACTTCTAAAGTTGCCTTTTGGTTGGAAATTCTCATAGGACTTAATCTTTGGGTATGTATGCATAAATACAATTGTTATGAAACATAATCAAGCCAACAAAATAATAATACTCTGCGATGGCCTGGCCCTTGTGACTTAGTTTGTTGAAATTGTAGAAATCGCGTTAGCGCTGATCAATACATTCTCTGTGTGTTCCGATATAATTTGTACACTTGTCGATTTAAATTGTTTAGGGAAAACCTGAAAGAACCATTACTAAATGTACTAAACATATATTAATAAACTAGAAAATGCATGTAAGACATAAATGCCCCCATCTCATGGACGGGATGGGACGGGACGCGACGGGACGGGACGGACATGGGCAACACGATAGGCCCCCCATTTTATGGCGGGGGCATACAAAAAAGGCAAGAGTTTCTTCGATTTCCCTAGCGCTTTCTCCTCTTATAGGTTCATCAGGGGAACGGAGCATATTACAAATGCTCAAATGAATACATTGTTTAATAGTAAAAGTTAAAATCATCTGATATCAAAAATGAATCTCAAAGCACAAAATTTAGTTCATCCTAACATATTAAACATATGGAATTTGTAAATTTAACATTATAAGGTGCTCGAAATTTCAAGCGTTCAGGCCCCGTTATAATTTTGAATTAACAAATTCCGTATGTTTCTTTTTCCATATATTTCATTGACGCATTTAATGCAAGAACATTCATGTAATCTTTTTAAGACGTCGCAATAGCTCTGTTCCGAGTTCCGTCCGGAACAAATCGGTTCTGACTTTATGCGCGGCGGAAGTCACGTGATTTTCTGCAACGTCTAGGCATGCTGACTTCCGGCGTCCGTAGCGACGTCTGCCTCTGTCATTATGCTGTCTAACAAGTTTATCAAACACAATGCCCTTAAGTTGCAAGCCAGTAGCAAACCAGATGCTGAAGGTCAGTGCCTTTCTGAGACCATTAGTGGGAAAGTGATTACTGTCATCATGCAGTCAGTCATACCTATCCAGGAATCAATCATTAATCAATAATTCAATTTGCTACAATATTTGATGTTAAATAATTATATTGTACATCAATTTCCTTTTACACAACATATGTTTGGCCTTCAAGCTAAAGGTACATGCATTTCCTGTACTTTTTTAAAGATGCACAATATTAAACAGGTGTTAACATAATCAATTATATTTTTTTTCCCCAAAGCCAACATTCTAAACAGACTTTTTGAAGCTTAGCAAGTGTATATATATATTGTACAAAATAAGAAGCTGTGAAACTTCATATGATCTATAAGATACCTGATAATCATTTCAATACAATGATTTTTTTGAATGATACCAGTACCATGAAATTAGTATGGTATGATATGTAATAATTAATCATAAATCAACTAGCTTATGAATATCATTTGAACAATACACATTTTGATTACTTGAATATGTCTGTGTCATTATTTTTGTTTCATTTAGCTGTTCTGCATTACATATATACATAATTATACAAGTATGTATTACTGCATGTACTTATCTGGCAATAACCAACTGACTGGTATACTAAGCCCATTCACTTGTATTACAGCTTCATAAGAAATGTCAACAACATTTGTTTAATTACCTTGTAATAAGCCCACCTACCTGTATGAGTCAAAGGTTAAGAACAGTGGACGAGTAGGAAACTAGAACTCAATACATGGATTTAAGATCAATAATGAGTTGAATTGTTCAACACCAAATGGATAACATTTGCATCATCCATGTACAAGTGGTAGTGAGCATCAAAACATGCATCTTGTGGTGTTGGATCTCTGAAAGTATACGAATATTTGACCTCCAACAACCCTTTTCCACAACACTTACAGCAAACCAGACCATCAGGTGAGGCACCCATGAATGGATGATCAGCATCAACAAAGAAACCATACTCCCTGACTGTTGACTTCTGTGATTAGATACATGCTGTGTAGAGTACAGTGATCGAGCAATAGGTCCATGGTCTATGCCAAACCTCAGAATGTCTGGGGCACCTGATCTTGAGGACATAACTGGAGGTGGTGGACACATAACTTCTTTTAATATATAGTTATCATAATTTTTATTGAATACAAAGTCTAACACTGAAGAAAATATGGAAGCTCTCACACGACCTGGCCTGTTAGTAAACCGGTCAAGATTATCAGCTTGACTCCTTGTTATTTCTTCAATCCTCTGCACTGTTTTCACATCAGAATGTGTTGAAATCACTTTTGACGCTAACAAATTTGTAGCATCAACATCGCCTTTCACAGTATCTGCAATTTCTGTCAAAGTTGGTGAGATAATTTCATCATCTGAACTGTCATCATCACTTGGTGGATCTAAAGTTTGAAAAAGCACACTATCACTTTTCTTACACAACAGATAAACCTCTTTCTCCACCTGCCTCTTGGACAAACACTCTGTCCTAACCATAGGATTGTAGTTTGAAGCAGTAGCAGACTTGGGAACAGGTGTTACCTTATTTACTCTGGTATCAATGTGTTCTATCTCTTATGGTGTAGTGGTTCTCCTCGGCATGTCCCAAACACAAGCAACATCTGTGCCAACCTCAGTGCTGCGGTCTTTATGTCGATCACAGAAGGCTGGCAAGGCAAACAACAATGCCACACAATAATAACATGTGCCGTCATCACTGAAAAAAATACATAAATGTTCAATGTACGGTCAAACTTCTGTAGCAGAACTGGACTGAGCGTCGGTGGCCAGACAGCTCAAATGGTTAGAGCGTCTGTCTAGTGTTCGGAGGTCCCGTGTTCGAGTCCCGGTCTGGTAATTGGCATTGCATTTTCCCTCTCCTGGTTATTTGGCGCCCAACTAAATACTCAGAGGTACTATAGGGTATCATGTGTGTCTTCGGGGTCTCAAACTCTAACTCAAAGACCCTGCTTAACTCTAATGTAAAATTCGGTTCTGACAGTAAAGTTTGTATATAACATATATTCAGTATCATTGAATACTAAGGGTATCTCGTAGTTTTTTCATGACCTGAGTGACTTCAATTTATCGAGGTTCGACTGTATTTGCATTAAATGTAAACAATATTATTGCAGGGGAACAAATACACTTCTTTTGGTTACTTATATATATTTTATTTATATATTTTTTTTAAATCGATTGGCTCATTGTCATATCACATTCGACTCTAAAGTTTGGAAACTTACGCAACACAGGTGCAACCCCCAGATTTCACATGCCCATCCCTCTGTAGGAGAAGCCACGTAGAATACGGAGTGGCACGTTGTCTGGTCTCAGGGATACACGACGCCTTGACGTACAAATGCGAGTCACTATTTGAAATGTTCCCGAGGCACACGTCATTGATATGATGGTCCATGTAGAGTTTGTTACCATTATCGTTCTTGTAATTTTCCAACCTCGATTCAGACCAACCGCATACGTTCATGAAATATATGATGATATCACAGTACTCCACATTAGGGGCAGAAGCCATATCAGACATCCAGGACTTTACCTTGCTGACGTCATCCAATACAGTTGAATCAACAGTGCGTCTCAGGACGTCCATGTCGTGGCAGTCATCACAGGTCACAACCTCTAATTCCAACTCGTTTGCTAGCTTGCACAGTCTAACTAAATCGTTTTTACGGTATAAACTGCATGATATACCCCTCTCTTGCAAATAATGGTTCAATAATGGCACCTGAAATCCTTCAAAATCCATCCCGGTAAACATATTTGTATCGCAAGTTGAAAAGTTGTGAATGTTGAGGAATGTCAGCGTAAACCGGAAGTTTATATGCCTCGATTTTCGTTTCCATGGGTACTCTTTTTTACCTCCACACAGGAGTTTCTTATAACCCGGAACAGAGCTATTGCTACACGTCCGCATCATGTGTACTTTGTTTATAACGTCATAATTTTTGACGTTTTAAGTATGTATACTCCTTTTATGACGTAAGAAATAAATTTAAATCGCCTGAATAACCCAAATATGGGCGAAAGCGCTCCATCATCGGATATGTTCTTGTTGTGTAATAAGATAAGACATAAACAAACAAAAAACGAACTAACATGCTACCAGGATAAGATCTGACTTATGGCTCCGCTAATAGGGTTTGTCGTACACGTCGTTACAGGTCATCATACTATGAACCAGTATGAGAAGTAATACGAACCGGAAGTCACGTTTTACTCCTGCTTGTTATGAATGGGCGAAAGTTGACAATTCAATTATGAAACCATAGCAATAATATTTTAGCCTACTGAAGTTTATATACGTTATAACTTTTAGGCTGAACAAAATGGCATTTGTTTTAAAATCATAATGAATGTTGTCTTCAGCCATGCCAACATGTCAATGCTGTAAAGTAAGAAGCAAGCTTTAATTAGCTCACTATCCGGCAGGTCTGGTTCCCGCTTCTTTGCAGCGTTTAAATTGAAGTCCACCAACAAGAGCATGTCTACTCTTAGTTTGTTTGAAAACACTCAAAATGTTTCTTCAATATCAACAAATATCAGAACGGTGATATCCCGTTATACATGTACTATTTATTTATCACTCGGTGTCTTCATTACTGCAGTATTACTCTGAACAATTATCTTTATGCAGTGATCGGATTTATTTATTTAAGTTAAACTACAATAAAGTGGAACTAGTCAGATGAAAGTTGTTAAGATAATGTATTTGAGGAAAAGTTATTTAATTTGCTGACATACGCTATGTGAAAAGCAGTAACGCAATTTCCATAAAGTAAACCATTTGTCAAGTCACGTTACCAGTAATGACGTCAGCTACTACTACCGATTATTCGCTCATATAACGTTGCATAATGTTTGTATGTTTAACATGATTTTATATCGGTTCATAGTATGATGACCTGTAACGACGTGTACGAAAAAAAATTGACCCCGGTATCAATAGTAATCGACTTCTGTTGACATTAGCTATTTTGCGGACGTAACAGTCAGAACAAACCGACAACACTTAATAGCGTTAATCTGTTGACAATCGTAATGCTCTGAAACGTAAAACTGCTAAAATTAGTGCGTCTAAAGTAATAGACAGGTGAAGAAACTGTGTTTGTCAAACGATTAAAAGTGTTCCTGCTTTTAACCTAAGTTTGCAATAAGAAAAGGTAAAGAAATAGGCATTATGTTAATCAAGTCGTGGCCCGGTCACTTTTGAAACATCTCTGTTTTAACTTAGCTTAATTTATATCATTTTGATATGAGCTGACGCTTTGCTTTTTACCCGTGACCTTTATGTTTTAAAAAAAGCAAAAGGCTGAAATCTGTATCTCAAATTGCAGATGGTCCTGGAGCAACCGCAGCTTTGTCCCCACCTGACACTGCCTACACCAGGAACGAGGGAGACACATTACCGGACATAACATGTACAGCTGACTGTAGACCTGACTGTACCTTCATCTGGACAAAACCTGACAACACCAATTTTTCTGCCTCGGCTGTGTTGTCACTTGGACAACTGGACAGATCAGAAAACGGGACTTACCGGTATACAGCTGGGAATGAAGTCGGGGAGTCTTTTATAACGACCGGTGTGGCTGTACAATGTAAGTCAGACATGCTTATATTGTAGCTCAATGAGATAGGAAGTCAATTTGTCCTTCTTCTTTGGCCAATTAATTCTAAGGTGTTGAATATTTTTCAATACAAACAAGTGAAAACAAAGACGGCGCGTCGCGTACTACACACAGGTAAGAATATAACGAAGATACTTTTTGCGACAACTCTTCATTGTTTCATAATTTACGGTCATATACTGCAATACTATGCATAGCCACTACGATCTCCTTCACTCTCTCTATTCAGATGATAGACAGACTTAATAATGCAACTTCTTTATCAGCTCTGTGAACATGCACATTTTGAGATTGTCAGGGTCATGTGATGCGTGCCGTCCTACTGTAGCTTCATGCAATAACCTATTCATAACTTGTGCCCATTCTTACTAGTCTACAATTAACACGCTCCTTTTTGATTTACGTATTACCTGCATTACAGTGTATGTTGTGAGATCCAATTAAATACGACGGTCGGTTAAAATCATAGGTGTAAACACAACATTGATGTTCTTTATTCGAAAGGGAAGCCATACACTTAAGCCTGAATTAACTACGTCCAATGTATCTACAAGCTGACAGAGAATCTCGCACAAATTTGACACAGTTTGCACACCTAAATATCCTTCCTGTGAACTATTTAAGAGCTGAGCTAATTGCCTATATGTCTTCCTAGTGATAACACACTAGCAAAAGGGTTTGTTTTGTATTCCACTTTGTTTAAAAGTTGTTAAAGTTTGAAATCAACCTCAAACTAATTTACCTGTATTTATGTTACATGTGTTTTACCTAAGGTAAGTTATCAGGACACACAAACTGGAGATGTTCACAAAGTAAAAATTGAATATGTATTATATACACTATTCGGATTTCTATGAAATTTCAAAATTCTAGTTTCATTTTTAGTTGGTAGGCGTAGCCCATCACCTTGTGATGTCATACAAGGTAAAAGGTCTTGTGTACAATATAACTGAAAAAGTTTGTGGCAGAGTTTGAGTCAGGTTAAGACGGAATCATGTAGATTTTGATGGTTGAGTGATAAACTGTAGATTTTAATCAATTTTAAACCCTGCCTGCACATGTGGTCTCTTGAACAGGTTTAACAGTTCGAGGAAGGGCCTGATGTAGCCTTTGGCTTCATTATCTACTATTAAGGAGGCATTTTAGATTAGCTGTCCCAAATGCAAAACATGTGACACCTCATTAGATAGCCGTCCTCGCATGAACTTAGCAGTTTCGGGTACGTTTAATCCCAAGCATTTAAGTAAACACTACCAGGTATCAAATTCAAAGAGAATCTGTAAGAAAACAAGTATAGCAAGCTGAAAGTTCTAAATAAAGTACATTTTACTACCATACTAACAATCACTCACATTTCGCAGGTATATTTTGCTTTGAAAAAGAGAAAAAAAAACACCAATACCTACCAAGCGAAAAACAGCTGAACCTCGCTATCATTCTGAAAACGTCATTATTGTGTCATCACTGTATAGAGTGTACAAAGAGTAGCGTCACCAATTACGTCCCACATTTCATACGCCCTTGAGAATGGCGCAGTGCTATGAGCTCAACTGTGCGGTAGGAAAGTATTGGAGAAAATTCAATCCTGTGCGATACAGACAAAGAAATATTAAGCTTTAGGTACGACTAAACTTAAATCAACATACATGTATATCTGGGTCGACTTTTTCTCTGTCTACGTTTAACAGGCATGATGTTTTGTTTTAACCATTTGTTAGATATGTTTGTGTAATTTTTATACGCTTAAAAAATTAACCGAAGCAAGCCTCATAACAAATTAAAAGAGCGTCTTCGTTCACCTATTTTGAGAAAGAAAGGTGAACAGCGACATGGTTATATGGTCGTTCATTATTTGGACAATAATTTGTGAAAAATCTCAACAAAGCCAAAAGGATCTGTACTGAGGATGAAAGTCTGCGAATGATTGAGTTCCCTAAAGGTAGTGTCTTTGGTTGCAAGTTTTTTTTAGCATATTGTAGTAATTCCAGTTTGAACACATATTGTCCCTTTTCTGACTGAATCGTTTTTGTTTTCATTTGAAGCAGAATGTACTGATACACTTATCAAAACGTAACCAGGTCCTTCAATTTCACATTCAGATGTGAGGGGTGCCATGGAGAAAGGTCATTGTGGCAAACAATAATATTTTTATGTATTCATGCATTTGTTTTCTATGGATCAAGCAGTTTCTGAAAACGTATAGCATTATAAGTATTACATGTTAACTGTACGAGAATCTTAAAAAGAAAAGGTATACTATTTTCAAATAACGTATTTTACACTGTACAAAGTGACGTTGAAAACTACGACGTTTGAGCGCAATGTCATCGCACATCAATGTGTCCGTACGTTTCTATGCAGCATTTGCCATACGTCATGTATGACTCCTCTGTCGGTGCTGGGCATGGCCTGTCTTGGTTCGCCTCTGAGGCAAACTGGCTCACATTTTGGCATAGTTTCTCTGGCGCTCATGTGGCATTCTTGCAGGCTGTAAAACGGATGGTAGCTCACTAGGGGAATGTTTCCTTAGGATTTCAGGTTGGAGTGCTTCTCCTCAGCTCCTCCTGTTTTTTCCTTCTTAAACACCTTTTTAGGATGGTGCCGACATACTCTACCACACTGCGATATATAATTTACAGCTACGACACATTACTGAAACGGTTTTTTTATTTATTTTTTAGAACAAAACAAAGAGTGTGTACCAATAGCCTTCTGGAAATTGTGGTACTTTCAAATGTTATTCATTGTCTGGAGCAGGTATTGAGAAATACCTCCAATGCCAATGGTCTATTCAAAATACAGCTGATGACTGGTAGGTGGGGCTCCCACTTCAATTCCTTTTATCATTTTAACTTATGTGCGTACATAAAAATGAACAATACATGTAACTGTATAAATACTTATGTATTATAACTACTGATAGCAGTAGTGGATCTTATTGCATACCACCAAGTAGAGTGACGGGGTCTCCTATCAAAATGGCAGATACATGTCACAAGAAAATATAATTTTGAGAATGATTTACGAGTGTATAGTGTATAAAATAAAAGTTAATTTGAAACCAAATATGTCACATTGGTGTACAGGATGAGAGCGTAATGATACCTTTCATTAGAAAAGCATGCACATTGTTACAACATATAATATATGAATAGTTACAATGGAAGTCTATAGTTTATATTTCTTTAAAAACGTACCATATACATTATTTCTAATGTGTATTGAAATATATCAAAAAGTGTACCGTTCTGAGGCATTATTTGCCTACTCCGTTCAACAACAGTTAAACTATTTGTTTTTACAATATCTATATAAAGAGTTAAACAGATTCGTCACTCATGTGTGGCTTGAAGTAATTACCAAAACCCAGACAGAAACAAATATTGCTTCGTATTCTATGCATTTTAAGAAAAACAAACAGGTTCCTTAATCTACGTGAAATTCAAACTCGAAATAGAATAGAAATGTTGCCTGGCTGGATGTAGCTGTTGATATTCAATTCAACTATGCTTCAAAGCATTGGTTTTTCGTTTATTAACACAATACACAATATTCATACACAGAAACTGGATTAGTTTGAATATATGCTGAAATTGGATAGTAAATAGTGTGTCACAAGTTAATTCAACACAAGTTTCTCCCCTGAATATATATTTTTGTTAAAAAAACTGCTAAACAAATGTTCCTGTTAATTAAACTGAAGAATTCAGAATTTTCATCGAAACACTAATATCGCATATGATACACATACATTTTTACCTTATTAACTTCGTCAGTTTTCCGACCAGGTTACTAGCCCAAGGTAAAAAACGCAACACCGGGGACAAAAAGAAACGTGCCGGTACACAATACTACCTGTGTTAGGATCGGTTATAAATGTCCTTTAACCACGACATTAACAGGTAACACCTCTGGGGTAATTAGTTTACCTGCTAATTTACAGGTAGGTATCGTACATGCCCTTTAGCTCTAGTATAAAAAGGTAAGAACTACAGGTAATTAACATACCTTTTAATTCACAGTAAGATTTGTATGTGTACGAACTGTGTGTACTATCTCCCAGCTAAAAGGATAGTGTACATAGAATGCACATGTAGTTGATGCAGGCACGGAATTATATTTCCGTGATTCAAACTTGAATGGATAACTTCTCTTGCGGAGAATTTATGTCTATATTTGTCGATTAATTATTTTACCCCTACGACATATATTTGTTGCTGTCATTACTTACACTGTTTTGCAAATAATATATAAATATGTAAAGGGGGGCGTGTCAGAATGGGTACACGTTATTAACAGGATATCATACAAGTCGTTCCACTGTGACGTCACATATCACTTGAACTTGTACTGGGTTCAAAATATGCATATTTACTAGGCTGATATAGATTGGGCGTCAACTGGCCTGTCTATCATCAGAGTCACTTCACATATCATTGCATTAAATGCCCGTAAAATATGAAATTATAAAAAATCGTATACACTGATATTTTTGCATCACACCAAAAGACTTCAATATAAAACGAATCTTTTTAAGTTCTGTGCATCAGTAATAACTCATAAATATGTATTTTGTAACAATATTTTTTCATCTGGAGAATGAATGCCAAAGATATCTAAATAGTATAAACAATAGAATTATCTTGATATTACAACTATATATACAAGTGATTATTAGTTTGTCTTTTCCATTCATTAAACAAATAATATAGGAATACTGCATTGTGCTATACATATAACTATAAAGAAGGGAAGCAAGGAAAGATATCATTGTCGGACTCCCCATGCAAACATTTCATTTGAATACATTTGATTCCTGTGAGTTTAAAGGAGGAAGGTCAATATCACAAATGTTTACCAAACTAATATCCATTTACATGAACAACTTACTTAACATAAACATAAAGACCAAATTACTTTTGATTATGAAAAAAACTCAATTTAAAGGAAAGTGGATAGAAAGCTGTGGGTATTTTGTTTTTAAATCAAAGGTGTCAACTGACAACTTTACTGGTTTTTCTAGGAGGAAATGTATTACCGCACCTTTAATACCAACACATATGAAAGAGAATGAGGTATCATATGTCATAAAATGAATTCTAAAACTGATTATTCCTGATTTAATATTCCTATTCCTATACCTTTTGTTATCACATACCTATGTAATCTTACAATATTCATACAACAATTTTCTGTTGATGTTTTCTGTCGGTTTGTTTCACGCATGTGTGCTACAAGATGTTGTGCAGAAAGATGGGGCCCAAAAGTGGAATTAGAGGTTTAACTCTTTAAAATCCTTTTCCTTAAGTATGATTGGGGTTATTTTTTACCTAATTCGGTGCAGAGTATCCTTTTGCAAGGGTTGGTCAACTTGTTTTAACTTGTGTAGACGCCCTGGAAGCAAAGGGGGAGGGTCAAGAAGGAGGGACATGGTAAAACGTGTTTAAAATCCTTTTCCATCGGTTGATTTGGAGGGTTTTAATCAAATTTTGTGAAGAGCAACCTTGGACAAAGGGATCTAAAGGTTGTTAAAATAGATTGCTGCTTTTACGGGGCAGAATAGAGGGCTCAAGTGGGGAAATTGAGGTTCATCCATCCCAATTCATCGGGACAGAAACAAGGGTCCTTATATTTCGAAAAAGTTGCAGTACTTCATGTAGTGAGAATAACTATCGATGGCTGCTTTTGATCCAAGTGAGCGAAACAGGCTCGGCTCTCTAGGCATCTTGCTAAATAGAATTATAAAAGTGTTGACGGTTATAGAAATGAAAGCGTACAAGTTTTCCTTTACATTTAAAAGATAGAACGGGAAAAGATATGAATAAATATGGTGTTTAGATTTGCTCTTTTTTTCTGAGCATGCTGTGACCTATTTAATGATTGTTCCTTATTTCTACATGAATATATAATTATCTGTTGACTAACGAAAGTAAAACATTGTACATTATAAAACATGTAGTTTGTGTGCCTCCTTCATCTGTGAATATTTTAGACGGTCCTGGGACCTCTACAAGTCTGTCCCCGTCGGTTACTTCTTACACCAGGACTGACGGGGACACGTTACCGGACATCACCTGTATAACTGACTGTAGACCTGGCTGTACCATTGTATGGACAAAACCTGACAACACAAACTTGACTGCCTCACCTGTGTTGTCACTGGGACAACTGGACAGATCAGAACAGGGGATGTACCGGTGTACTGCTTGGAATGTTATCGGGACGTCAAGTATCACTACCAGTGTAAACGTACACTGTAAGTATATTTTATATCAAACAGTTTTACCTGCTCTGGAAATCATACGCTTGAAATCTCTCTCACAACACATTGTTGCATTTACGATTCACTGATATCCGGTTTTAACAAACTAGTTATAAAATAATAATTCCAAAGTATATGAAGTATTATGCACTAGGAAATAAGAAAAAATCCTGCTGGAGTCACCCTTGTATACTATGTGCTGTCTGATGGTTGTCCTTTACCTTAACACCCCTGCTGGTGGGGGATCAGGGAAAAATACAGCTGCTGTTATCGTAAAGGAGGCGACTAATGAAAGAAACTCCTGCAGAATTGGGGATTAGTTTTGGTGTCCTCTATTTGTAAATTATAAATGATACAATGTCATTGACTGTTAAAATAAAAACAAAATGTTTGTCGTAGATGGCCCTACTACATCCATAGTCATGTCCCCACCAGACACTACATACACCAGGACTGAGGGGGACACGTTACCGGACATCACCTGCACAGCTGACTGTGGACCTGGCTGTACCTTTGTCTGGACAAAACCTGACAACACCAACTTTACTGTTTCACCTGTGTTGTCACTTGGACAACTAGACAAAACAGAACACGGGACGTACCGGTGTACTGCGTGGAATGCTATGGGGACGTCAAGTATCACTACCTGTGTAAACGTACAATGTAAGTATATTTTAAACAGGGCAGAAAACGGGATCTCCATTTGTATTGGTAAGAATGTTTTCGGCGAGTCATCTAAATAAACTAATGTTACTGTTATGTGTAAGTATTTGAGTACATTTCAAATAATATCTTCACAAATGTAGACAGAAACTGTATCATTTGTATTTGCTCACCTGGTCCGAAAGACCGAGGTGAGCTTATGGCATACCGCAGCGTCCGTCGTCCGTCCGTCAACGTTTGCTTTAAAACGTTACCTGTCTTGAACAGCTTTATTTATTTTGACCAAATTTGACGTGGAGCATCCTTGGGCAGAGGAGACTGAATTTTGTATAAATTGAGGGTGTGGCCCCTATGGGAGCTGGGAGACAGGGCCTAATATGTAAATGTGAGGTTTAAACCTTTTTAAAAAAGCATTCTTCTTCTGTACCATTGGAGGGATTTTATTAACTTTGACACGGAGCATCCTTGGGCAAAGGAGACGGGGTGAAATAGCGGAATTTGAGGTTAAACCTTTGAAATCCTTCTTCTTCTGTTCTTTCGGTGGAATTGTATCCAAAGTTTGCCTGACTCCTTGGACAAAAGGGATTTATTTCGTTTAAATAGAGGGTGGCCCTCCTTAGTGCTGAGGGGCGGTTTCCAAAAGGTGAATTTAGGTTTAAACCATTAATATCCGTCTTTTTCTGTACCACTGGAGGGGTTTATCCAAATTTGACAAGGAGCATCCTTGGGCAAAGTAGACTCAATTTGATATAAACGGATGGTGTTGCCCCTAGGGGTTTTCGAGGAGCGGGGCCCAAGAGGGGACTTTGAGATCCTATTTCGTATGTACGATTGGAGAGTTTTTATCTAAATTTGGGACTAAATTTTGTATCGAGAGAGGGTGTGGCCCCTCTTGATGTGGAGGGATTAAGCCCAATGAGGTTAATTTTCGGTTCAACTCTTCAAAATGTTTTGTATCACTGCAAGGATTTTTATCTAAATTTGGCCTAGAGCATCCTTTGTCACAGGAGATTCAATTTTGTTTATAAATGGAGTGTGTTGTCCCTTTGGGTGCAGAAAATTGGGACCCTAGATGGAAGTACTTTACCATTTGGATTATTTTAAGCAGATTTGGTTCGGAGCATCATTTGGAGAAGAAGACTTTTTTTTTTATAAACGGAGGGTGTTACCCCTCTGGGTGCAAAAATATGGGGCCCAAAAGTGAAATTAGAGGTTTAACTCTTTAACATTCTTTTCCTTAAGTATGATTGGAGTTATTTTAACCTAATCCGTCCAGAGCATCCTTTTGCAAAAGTTTGTCAATTTGTTTAAACATAGTGTAGTCACTCTGGAAGCAAAGGGGGAGGGTCTAGAAGGGGGAACATGGTAATACATGTTTAAAATCCTTTTCCTTCGGTTGATTTGGAGGGTTTTAATCAAATTTTGTTTAGGGCAACCTTGGGCAAAGGGGAGTAAAGGTTGTTTAAATAAACAGTTGCTTTAAGGGGGCAGAGGAGAGAGCTTAAGTCGGAAAAACGGGTCCCAATATTTGGAAATAGATGCAGTATTTCATGTAGAGAAAATAACTATCCATGGCTGCTTTTGATCCAAGTGAGCGAAACAGACTCTCTAGACATCTTGCTTAATATAATTATAAACTATAAATAGCCTAGTGTTGACAGTTCTACAAATGAAAGCGTACAATTTGTCCTATACATTTATAAGATAGTACGGGAAGAGATATGAATAAAGATGGTGTTTAGATTTGCTGTGTTATTTTACTGAGCATGCTGTGACCTATTTAATGTTTGTTACTTATTTCTACATGAATATACAATTACCTGTTGACTAACGAAAGTAAAACATTGTACATTATAAAAATATAGTTTGTGTGCCTCCTTCATCTGTGAATATTTTAGACGGTCCTGGGACCTCTACAAGTCTGTCCCCGTCGGTTACTTCTTACACCAGGACTGACGGGGACACGTTACCGGACATCACCTGTATAACTGACTGTAGACCTGGCTGTACCATTGTATGGACAAAACCTGACAACACAAACTTGACTGCCTCACCTGTGTTGTCACTGGGACAACTGGACAGATCAGAACAGGGGATGTACCGGTGTACTGCTTGGAATGTTATCGGGACGTCAAGTATCACTACCAGTGTAAACGTACACTGTAAGTATATTTTATATCAAACAGTTTTACCTGCTCTGGAAATCATACGCTTGAAATCTCTCTCACAACACATTGTTGCATTTACGATTCACTGATATCCGGTTTTAACAAACTAGTTATAAAATAATAATTCCAAAGTATATGAAGTATTATGCACTAGGAAATAAGAAAAAATCCTGCTGGAGTCACCCTTGTATACTATGTGCTGTCTGATGGTTGTCCTTTACCTTAACACCCCTGCTGGTGGGGGATCAGGGAAAAATACAGCTGCTGTTATCGTAAAGGAGGCGACTAATGAAAGAAACTCCTGCAGAATTGGGGATTAGTTTTGGTGTCCTCTATTTGTAAATTATAAATGATACAATGTCATTGACTGTTAAAATAAAAACAAAATGTTTGTCGTAGATGGCCCTACTACATCCATAGTCATGTCCCCACCAGACACTACATACACCAGGACTGAGGGGGACACGTTACCGGACATCACCTGCACAGCTGACTGTGGACCTGGCTGTACCTTTGTCTGGACAAAACCTGACAACACCAACTTTACTGTTTCACCTGTGTTGTCACTTGGACAACTAGACAAAACAGAACACGGGACGTACCGGTGTACTGCGTGGAATGCTATGGGGACGTCAAGTATCACTACCTGTGTAAACGTACAATGTAAGTATATTTTAAACAGGGCAGAAAACGGGATCTCCATTTGTATTGGTAAGAATGTTTTCGGCGAGTCATCTAAATAAACTAATGTTACTGTTATGTGTAAGTATTTGAGTACATTTCAAATAATATCTTCACAAATGTAGACAGAAACTGTATCATTTGTATTTGCTCACCTGGTCCGAAAGACCGAGGTGAGCTTATGGCATACCGCAGCGTCCGTCGTCCGTCCGTCAACGTTTGCTTTAAAACGTTACCTGTCTTGAACAGCTTTATTTATTTTGACCAAATTTGACGTGGAGCATCCTTGGGCAGAGGAGACTGAATTTTGTATAAATTGAGGGTGTGGCCCCTATGGGAGCTGGGAGACAGGGCCTAATATGTAAATGTGAGGTTTAAACCTTTTTAAAAAAGCATTCTTCTTCTGTACCATTGGAGGGATTTTATTAACTTTGACACGGAGCATCCTTGGGCAAAGGAGACGGGGTGAAATAGCGGAATTTGAGGTTAAACCTTTGAAATCCTTCTTCTTCTGTTCTTTCGGTGGAATTGTATCCAAAGTTTGCCTGACTCCTTGGACAAAAGGGATTTATTTCGTTTAAATAGAGGGTGGCCCTCCTTAGTGCTGAGGGGCGGTTTCCAAAAGGTGAATTTAGGTTTAAACCATTAATATCCGTCTTTTTCTGTACCACTGGAGGGGTTTATCCAAATTTGACAAGGAGCATCCTTGGGCAAAGTAGACTCAATTTGATATAAACGGATGGTGTTGCCCCTAGGGGTTTTCGAGGAGCGGGGCCCAAGAGGGGACTTTGAGATCCTATTTCGTATGTACGATTGGAGAGTTTTTATCTAAATTTGGGACTAAATTTTGTATCGAGAGAGGGTGTGGCCCCTCTTGATGTGGAGGGATTAAGCCCAATGAGGTTAATTTTCGGTTCAACTCTTCAAAATGTTTTGTATCACTGCAAGGATTTTTATCTAAATTTGGCCTAGAGCATCCTTTGTCACAGGAGATTCAATTTTGTTTATAAATGGAGTGTGTTGTCCCTTTGGGTGCAGAAAATTGGGACCCTAGATGGAAGTACTTTACCATTTGGATTATTTTAAGCAGATTTGGTTCGGAGCATCATTTGGAGAAGAAGACTTTTTTTTTTATAAACGGAGGGTGTTACCCCTCTGGGTGCAAAAATATGGGGCCCAAAAGTGAAATTAGAGGTTTAACTCTTTAACATTCTTTTCCTTAAGTATGATTGGAGTTATTTTAACCTAATCCGTCCAGAGCATCCTTTTGCAAAAGTTTGTCAATTTGTTTAAACATAGTGTAGTCACTCTGGAAGCAAAGGGGGAGGGTCTAGAAGGGGGAACATGGTAATACATGTTTAAAATCCTTTTCCTTCGGTTGATTTGGAGGGTTTTAATCAAATTTTGTTTAGGGCAACCTTGGGCAAAGGGGAGTAAAGGTTGTTTAAATAAACAGTTGCTTTAAGGGGGCAGAGGAGAGAGCTTAAGTCGGAAAAACGGGTCCCAATATTTGGAAATAGATGCAGTATTTCATGTAGAGAAAATAACTATCCATGGCTGCTTTTGATCCAAGTGAGCGAAACAGACTCTCTAGACATCTTGCTTAATATAATTATAAACTATAAATAGCCTAGTGTTGACAGTTCTACAAATGAAAGCGTACAATTTGTCCTATACATTTATAAGATAGTACGGGAAGAGATATGAATAAAGATGGTGTTTAGATTTGCTGTGTTATTTTACTGAGCATGCTGTGACCTATTTAATGTTTGTTACTTATTTCTACATGAATATACAATTACCTGTTGACTAACGAAAGTAAAACATTGTACATTATAAAAATATAGTTTGTGTGCCTCCTTCATCTGTGAATATTTTAGACGGTCCTGGGACCTCTACAAGTCTGTCCCCGTCGGTTACTTCTTACACCAGGACTGACGGGGACACGTTACCGGACATCACCTGTATAACTGACTGTAGACCTGGCTGTACCATTGTATGGACAAAACCTGACAACACAAACTTGACTGCCTCACCTGTGTTGTCACTGGGACAACTGGACAGATCAGAACAGGGGATGTACCGGTGTACTGCTTGGAATGTTATCGGGACGTCAAATATCACTACCAGTGTAAACGTACAATGTAAGTATATTTTATATCAAACAGTTTTACTGCCCTGGTAATCATACGCTTGAAATCTCTCTCACAACACATTGTTGCATTTACGAATCACTGATATCCGGTTTTAGCAAACTAGGTATAAATAAGCATTTCAAAGTATATGAAGTGTTATGGCCTAGGAAATAAGAAAAAATCCTGCTGGAGTCACCCTTGTAGACTATGTGCTGTCTGATGGTTGTTCTTTGCCTTAACACCCCTGCAGGTGGGGGAGGGGGATGGGGATATACCTGCTGTTATCGTAGAAGGCAACTAATTATAGAAGCTCCTGCGGAATTGGGGATTAACTTTGGTGTCCTCTAAGTAGGGACCAAAATAAGTTTGCTGCGCCCATTGCAATGTCTAGGAACTTTATCTTTCTTTGTACTTATTTATGATAGTTTAATGCCATATCATTATCCTTTGTCTTATATTTGTAAATTATAAATAATACAATGTCATTGACTGTTAAAATAACAATAAAATGTTTGCCGTAGATGGCCCTAGTACATCCATAGTCATGTCCCCACCGGACACTACCTACACCAGGACTGAGGGGGACACGTTACCGGACATCACCTGTATAGCTGACTGTAGACCTGGCTGTACCTTTGTCTGGACAAAACCTGAAAACACAAACTTGACTGCCTCACCTGTGTTGTCACTTGGACAACTGGACAGATCAGAACAGGGGATGTACCGGTGTACTACTTGGAATGTTATCGGGACGTCAAGTATCACTACCAGTGTAAACGTACAATGTAAGTATATTTTATATCACACAGTTTTACCTGCTCTTGAAATCATACGCTTGAAATCTCTCTAACACCACATTGTTGCATTTAAGATTCACTGATGTCCGGTTTTAACAAACAATGTATTAAATAATCATTCCAAAGTATATGAAGTGTTATGCACTAGGAAATAAGAAAAATTCCTGCTGGAGTCACCCTTGTAGACTATGTGCTGTCTGATGGTTGTCCTTTACCTTAACACTCCTGTAGGTGGGGGATCGGGGAACATACACCTGCTGTTATCGTAGGAGGCCACTAATGATATAATCTTCTTCAGAATTAGGGATTAGCTTTAGTGTCTTTTATTCGGGAACCAATATTATTCTGCTGCGACCATTGCAATATCTGGGATTTTTATCTTTCTTTCTACCTCTAACTACCTTTTATTTCCTAGCGCATTGCTTGGCAATACCTCACATTTTGTTCGAGTGTTGAGCGTTCGTCAAGGTAAGGAAAGCTATGTGTTCTGTTCCCAGTGTGGGACATACCAAAGTCCTTAAAAATGGTAGTTGTTATTTTCTGCTTAACGTTCAGCTCTAAGGGGTATGACAACAACTGATTCACCCGTTGTAAGTTTAATGTTGCCGGGGTGAATGCTGTGCTTGGTTCCATCGGCATGGCATATCAGTGCGATAGCAAACTTTTACAAGGAGACAAGTACACCAAGATGCCCTGGTTCCAGCATGCAAACACTGAAGCACGCATACATTACACGTATGGAGTCACGTTCTCACATGACCTTAGCTGTAAATAGTACGTTTAACAGAATATAATCAAACCTTTACCTTAAGCTGTCAGAATCAGTCAGAATCATATTGTCATGTACCCTAGATCGTATATATCTGGGAGTCGAATCTGGAAATCCAATGTTTTGGCTAGCATTGAGTCTTCTTTAAAGCCACAGAAACCTTTTCATTTCAACAACAGAAAAACGAAACAAAAACATATCCCAGAAAAAATTGTCTTCTCAATAGTTATTATTTATATAAATGACTTCGTCCAATAATTATTCGGCAAGGTGGGCCTTAATGACAAAAAATGGCCCCCACTCCAATTACGAAGCGACCCACAACGCAAAGTTAATGTAAAACAAAAAATATCATCTTGGTTCTTATACTATAACGATTACATGAAATACTAAATATTTGAATGACTTTAATAAATGAGATCAAGCTATCATTGGTTGTGCATTGTTTGAAATACTAAATATATATATATTTTTCATATGGTGTTCTTGACTGTCATGTAATTATATCAGCAAAAAAACAGTAGAAAAGATTTTCCTCTTAAATTCAGGTTGCATTTTAATTAATGAAAAGAATGGCAACCTAGTTTATACCTTACAGCTACCACTTAGACATCGGAACCAATTATAGAAATGACTATATAATTTATTTTATTGAAATGCAAAGTTTTTAATTTCTGATTGCTTATGATTAAAATAACTGTAACTGTCAAATACATGTCAACATAGATGTTGGAACACTAATCTTAAATCTTATTCTGGATATCCATCGATTTTAAACTAAACAGAGTAGCAGCATAATAATACGTTGGTTTGTATACCTATTGACCGTTCCGTGTGGTGTTCTAACAGCTAATCTGTGCACCTAACAAAGGTGAGAAATCCGTCATGAAATTCAGGGGTCTAGTCCTCAGTAATGGTATACCTTGTGGTCAAATGCATAAGCTGACTAGGTGTATCTTTGATTGCTTTGCTAAAGAAGAGATGGGGCAGGGAAATAAGTTGGGGTAAATGTAAATTGATATCTAAATACAAAATTAAATGTAATTCCTAATCCAACGGAGATATAATGTTGTAGTTGATTATTTATTCAATACCCTGTGTACATGTGGTTTTTGTTAGATAAAGAACTTTCCTGCGGTACCGACAACATGTACGTAACTGGAGTTACCCTAACGTGTACTGGTGTGCTCACTCTCCTGCTGACAGTTGGACTCGGAATATTTATCAGTCGTACGTATTAATTATCTAACAACTGATTGATAAAAGCAGCAATAATGCATTGATAACTGAACAACTTTCATATTGGGATCTTAGTTTATTCACATTATTAACTAATGCATTGTTCGTATAAACACATACAGTATTTGTTTGTTTATACGATTAAATCAACTGTATTATTTCAAATAGAAATTTGAAAGTGTGTTCGTAATTTCATATTACAAAGCTCGCATTTAATTGTTTAACATATATGCTTTTACAGGGTATGGCAGACTGCCTTGTATGTAAGTAAATGCATCTTGACATGAAATCTTTTTACATCTTATTCGTTTTATCATTACTTTCGTCTGTTTTGAAATGATGATCAATAGAAAAAAGTATGATATTTCACAAACAATTCTCCCACAATATGAATATATGGTGTGATGCTGTTTAAGTAGAAATATAATGTTATTTGTGTATTGTTTCCCAGCAAAAGAAAGCATCTAAACCCCGGAGAATTTCAGATGGAGCAACTTTCAGAACAAGGTAATTTCAGCAGAAACTCTTTTACTCGTTTAGTCTATGGTAATAATGAGCAATGCAGATCACTTTTTTGTTTGTTTCAAATTGTAGAACATAATTAAAATGGAACTATATTTTTAATGTTCTGTAGATGAATCTGTGCGATGCAAATTATGTTTCATATAACGGACAGGCAGTGTAGCAAGTCTTTTTTTTTTGTACTCAAATGAAGATTTTGTTTTTGATGATACATTTCCGTTTTATCTTACAGCTGTGGCACCTACTGAAGAGGAGGAACGGTAACAATGCTTATTCTTCTATTTTAGCTAACCTGCCATGACATGACGCATCGTCCTTCCGTCTGTCAACTTTTCCTTTAAAACGCTACTAGTCCTGAACGTATTGGTGGATTTTAAAATAAATTTAGTCTGGAGCATGCTTTGGCCATGGACACTTAATATTGTATACAATTGTGGATGTGGCCTCCCGTTGGGCAAATGAGCGGGGTGCAATATGGGATTAGTGGTAAAATATTTAAAAGCCTTCTTCTACTGTAGGGATATAGGAATTTTATCCTTATTTAGGATCATCATTGGGCCAAGGGGACTCAATTTTGTTAAATGGTGGATGTGCTCCCTTTTGGTGCAGAGTGGTAGGGCTAGAAGGGGGAACTTGAGGGTTAAATAGTAATATGTCGGGACATTTTTGTGTATAAACATTGGTAGTGGCCCCTTTGATTTAGGTTGGGTTTACTTTGATTTTGTTTTACGTCCTATTAACAACTTAGGTCATTTAAGGACGTGTCTCAATGTGTGTAGTGTATGCGTGCTTGCGTGTGTGTATGCAGGAGACAGGATATGTTGCTTGCCTCTACGTGATAGTGCAGATTTTATGCCGAATTTAAAGTGCTATCTCACTGAAATGCCATGCCGAAGGAACCCAGCACATCATTCCGTTCGGTCACATTCTACAGACAACGGGTGAACCAGATATCTTTTGTTAAATGGACTCAATTTTGAATAAATGGAGGGTATTACTTTGGTTTGGTCTGGTTTAGTATGTTTTAACGTCCTATCAACAGCTATGGTCATTTACGGACGTCCTCCCCTGTTTGCACGATGCATGCGTGAAGTGTATGCGTGTGAATTGTGAGACTGCACTATGGTCTTGTTTGTCCCCTTGTGATAGCGCAAAATCGATGCAGACTTTGAGTGCTACCTCACTGAAACATATCGCCAAAGACACCCAGCAGGACACCCAACCCGGTCATATTATACTGACAACGGGAGAACCAGTCGTCCCACTCCTAAATTGCTGAGCGTTGACCAAATATGGGACATATGAGGTTGAATCTTTAAAATTCTTCTTCTTCTGTTCCATAAGAGAGCTTAAAATTATTTTTTTATGGATGCTTTTTTATCCAGGTTAGTGGTATAGGCCCACTGGGTCTATTGTTTCTAACTTAACATGCAACATTTTTGCGTTATACTTACCACAAACCAACAACAATGTAATGCTTTAGATCAGAATGTTTGTTTATTGTATGCTACTAATTTCTACATAGATCGTCGTATGAACAACTCGATATGAATGCAATTGCCAAGCCGTCCCTGTACTCTGAATTCAGAAGTCGTCCTCAAGGTAAAGCACACACTGACGTCATATGAAACCGATACATGCTAATTGTCCTAACACAGGTTACACATATATATATATACTTTATTTGTCAAGAGGTCCTGTAAATGTATTTCTGCTTTTGCTCGGAAGGAGGGCGTTTGATTTGTTTTTCAAATATTTTATTCCCCCAGCAATTTTTTTTTAATATACATATTAAGATATTTTGATAGGGGCTACACGGGTTGGGGAGCCCTTGAATCAGCCCCTGAACAATATGGTGTCCTCACGCAGTTGGGTTCTCTTTCAACATTCATCATTTATTCTCTTCTCCATTTAGTTTATTTGTATCAAGTAAAAAAATAATAAATATAGGAAGGGCGATGGGAAAATAAAATATTTGCAAATAGAGTACAGGACAAAAACACAAAACATGCTTCTTTCTCACCCTACCAAATTCCATATACAACATAATATTACAAACAAACATAAGCTGGAAAAAATACATCTATACTCATACACACGTACATATAATGCATTAATTGAGAAGTTGTTTCGATGATATATAAGAGTGCTAGAAACTCAATCAAACCATCGAACCTGAGACTTCTTTTTTTCGTTCTTGATACAGTGTATATATAATATTTGGCATAAAGGATTATAAAGTTAATTGCTAAGGCAACATTCTCTGTCTCTCCAAATAATACTGTTTTGAATCTAGAATAAATTAATTGATCTAAATTTTGGTATATTTTGTTTTTCAAATCTTGCCAATGTCTGAAAGAATGACGACATTCCCGGAAAGTATATTTTTTCAATTTCTGTGTTACACATATTACGTTTGGTCTTTATAACGGAGTAAACCCGCAAGGTTACATGTTAACGTTAAACACACAAGTGTACTTTTTATAAGGATGTTGGAATTTATTTAAAAAACGTTATTAAATTATTGTTTTATCTCCATTGTTTCCATTTTTTTCTTTTTCACCGCGTTTACATCTGAACGAATTACGTATGCTGATTTGGATGCAGGAAAAGAAACTAAAATAAGTCATACCAATAATAATAACTTCACAATATTAGATAAACCAGTTTCATCCTGTTTCTAAATATTAAATCTTAAGATATGCGTTCATACATTACCCATTGCTATTTACTTAAACGTGATGTCCATGCTCATTGCATAGCGTGTCGGGATCCATTTACAGTAAAATACATCTTGTTTGATTGTGTCGATTTAAGTCAACTTGAGAACATTTCTATAATAACATCACATGTCTTCAATCTCTTTTTGAAAACATAGCTGTCTCTTCAATTTCAGACTATCTAAAAGCTGTAGGTCTTTTTCTTAATTGAGTCATCATAGCCACTTTCAATATTCAAATTGACGTTAGCCTTTTAACCTTTAGGTATGTTTGATGTATTTATTTTGCATTGGGTGTTTTTTTGCGACCATTTATTGGCCCTGATGACATATCCTTAGTTGATGGGCCGTTAAGCATTTTTGATAATAATAATAATTAAGATATGCAATTGACTGTTTACGGGGGCTAACGGAATTATGTACTGTTGTCTGTATTTGTAGGTCACCAGAAAGATACAGTCAGTGACAAGTAAGTATTAGCAATCAGCCATTATATAAACTGCCATTACTTGTAAACATTTCTAAAATGTTGTTATAAGATCTCCATCATTTTTGTATCGCCAAAATATGGTGCAATTCCACGTAAATGTAAAACACAGTATCTGTTTTTATATTAACAGCGAGTTCGAGTCTTTTGAGGGTCGGTCTGAATCAAACGTGTATGATGAGCCCCACGGTGCAAAGTCTGGTAAGTTGTTGTATACACTCCTCATCAATGCCATGTGATTGGTATCATAACCCAACTGTTCATGTAAAAGGTTGGCTATGCAAAGTTATGACTAATCCAACCACAACCATTTCCACCGAGTTCGTTATTATGAATTGACAAAAAGCTTTGATGCCAATGGATCATAAAACCTAAACAAAACCACCCAAGATCCTTTTAGACCAGGGATTAAAAAGTCCCATATACACATTCATTATTATATTAATAGATGTAACTTTAAACATACAAAAAGGTGACCTCTTCTCGCATACCTTTAACACAAAGAGAAATCAGGTGGAGCAAAAGCAAATATTAACTAAGTTACCAGATAAGAAAACATACTAAGTACAGTTTAAAATAACAGTTACAAGACAAACGTTGAATTGCTGTGGTATGGTAAGCGTGTGTATGGAAGTACTATTTAGTTAATTAATTGATTCATTTGTGTTTTTTATGTTGGTTTACATTGTAGTAATGTTCATCTTTTTGATATTATTTACCTGATATTATTTATAATTGATGTGAGCATTATATTTATTTAAATGTTGTTATTCAAATATACAGTTGTGGCCTTTAATAGTTTACTTATTGAAAGATGAAAAGACTTATAGCTTGAGTTTGTATACTGATACAATGTTCATAACAAGGATTAGTTCAATTGGAAATAGTCTTACTTGTGTTTACAGGTAGGAAAGCATTATACGTCAATACAGTCATCGCTGGTTATCGCAACTAGATCAATTTCTGCTGCGAAGAAACGTGATCACAGAAAGCAACCCGAGGAAACTTGATTGAATACAGTAAAGAATCAAAATGATTTGATTTAGATACCCTCATATCGATCGTAGATTTGTTTGTGTTATCAATGATACAATTAATACGTGACCCATAGATAATGCCACCTGCACAACCTGATACCAAACAGACTGTTTCCGTATGATACTGAGACACACAGGTTGTGCATAATTATAAAATGAAGTTTCAGGATTACATTTTATTAACAGTGAGTCTGGACACTCGGGCATCAGCAAGTCTAACTGTATTAGTCTTTTGATATGTAAAAAATAGTTCAGACATATGGCAGTATAACGGTTGAAATTAGAAATGTATGAAGTGTCATATTTATTTCTCGAAAGGTTTCATATGTTTTTTTTCTTTTAATTAATCCATGTAAAAAAATAATTTAGTCAATCATTTTATGTCATTCAATTTTAACATTCTCAATATGTTTTTCATTGTTTGTATATTTTCATTATTTATGTACATCGGTGTTTCCGCTCGTACATGTACATGTACAAAATTGTATTGTTAGTAAAAAGGTAGACTGTGTGGTTGGTAGGATTCATATTATATTTTTAGTGTCCACTGGTTTACTGTTCCTACGTGTAAAACATAAAAGAACAGAATTATATTTCACATTTGAAACACTAAAAATAAACTGTGTGATTGGGAAAATCCCTACCGACACCCCGTCACATATTTTACACGTAAATATGAATAACTCTGGCATAGTTCCATGCCGAGGATTAAAACTGAATATCGTTATCAAGGAACATTTTGTATTTTTCCTATTCAAGAAAGCTCATAAACATTTCAAGCAATTTTTTTAAACACAACATTTTTGTAGCATATATATGAAATCGTAACCCATTTCTAAATACGGAACGCGTTCTTATCATCTTTCAATTTTTATTCACTTCAGTGAAACATTTTGTATATTGCATACGCAATAATAGATAAAATAAAATTGATACCATCATAGTTGTTATATGTAACTTTGTAGCAAATTATAATATTTTTTTAGATTTTTAGCTCACCTGCCCGAAGGGCAAGTGAGCTTATGCCATAGCGCAGCGTCCGTCGTCCGTCCGCCCGTCAACTTTTCCTTGTGTGAAGGGGAACTAAATTTGTATAACCGGTGGGTCTGGCCCCCCTGGGGGCTGAGGGGCGGGGCCCAATAAAGGAAATATAGCCAATTCTTTAACATCCTTCTTCTTCTGAAGGAATGAAAGGATTTGATCTGAAGCATCCTTGGGGGAAGGGGACACATTTCGAATAAGTGGTGGGTGTGGCCCCATGATAGCAATTTCTTTTTAAAATCCTACTTATTTTGTGGAAATGACAAGATTTGGTCCATATTTGGTGTGGATCATCCTTTTGTATAAACGGTGTGTGTGGCCTCCCAGGAGCCCGAGTGTCGGGGCCCAATAGAGGAAACATAGCAAATTATTATTTAAGATTCTTCTTTTTTCTGTAGGAATGAAAGGATTTGGTCCATATTTGGTGTGGAGTATCCTTGGGTGAAGGGTAACAAATTTTGTATCAACGATGGGTGTGGCCCCCCTAGGACCTGCGGGGCGGGGCCCAATATGGGAAATAGAGGTAAAACTTTTAAAATCCTTCTTCTATCATAGGGATTAAGGGATTTATACTAACTTAGTCTGGAGCATTCTTGTGCCAAGGGGACACAACTTTGTATAAGCAGTGGGTGTGGTTTTCAAGGGGGCAGTAGGACGGGGCTAATAGGGGAAATATAGGTAAATCCTTTTTCTACCATAGGGATGAAGGGATTTCTTCCCAATTTGATCTGGAAGATCTTTGGCAAAAGGGACTCAATTTTGTATAATCAGTGAGTCTGGCCTCCCTGGGGGCAGAAGGGCGGGCCCAATAGGGGAAACATAGCAAATTCTTCAAATACCTATTTCTACTGTACGAATGACAGGATTTTGTCCAAATTCGGTAGGAAGTATACTTGGGTGAAGGGAAACAAATTTTGTATAAACGGTGTGTCTACCCCCCTTGAGACAGAGGCGGGGCCCAATAGGGGAATTAGAGGTTAAACATTTAAAATTCTTCTTCTACCATAGAGATAAAGGGATGTGATCTGGGGCATCCTTGGGCCAAGTGGACTCATTTTTGTATAAACAATGGGTATGACCTCCCTAGGGGCATAGGGGTGGAGCTGTGTTTGAAATTCGTTATATCTCAAGTACTGGATGGATATTTATGAAGATGCATATGTACTTACAGCACCTACCATGGAGTGCTATATCTTTACTTCATACCAATTATTTTAAACATATTCAGGTGAGCGATACAGGGCCTATGGGCCCCTTGTTTACATTTACATTGTATTTCATTATCCCAAGTACACAATTAATTGTCTTCCATAATTCATCAAAATACTTACAATTAATAGAATAATGCTCAAAAATGTCTTGTACATGGCATTTATTACATAGATCATTTTCTTGTATCCTCCATCTTTTTACCAAATAATTACTTGGTATTATTCCATTGAACAGCTTCCATTTGAACACCTTCAATCTATTGTCTATCAGTGTATTTTCGATGAAATCTAATGTACTAATTATTGAGTGTTTGCTAATATCAAATGCACTTTTCAAGTAATCCTAGCAATTATTATGTTCTAATTTCATTTGTCCTAATTGATGATATATTTTACTATTATTGTTCTTTTCTAAATAATTTGTTCACCCAACAATTTCATTTACGAACTTCCAACGCTGTAATTTTACTTGTGTTTTAACTGATTTATTTGTCGCTACTAACCGCTTCCATTCGTTCGGCAAAGAGAGCTTTAGTGTTTGTAGTTCAGCTATCCAATTGTGTTTACTATGCAATTTATTTAAAATATTATTTTCATCTATCACACCACTTTCATTGATAAGGTCATCAAAAAAGATGATGTTACTGTCTATCAAGTTATTGTAAATTAATGAATGTCCTTTATTCTTAATATCCGTGCTACCCCATATTATTTCAGATCTTACTTATGCAAATTCAGGTTGCTTTGTATTATTTATCTTCCCCTCAATCTTCACCCACGCTTTTATTAATTCATAATAAAAGTCGGATAAATAATATTTGATACTTTTTATAAATTTTAGGTTTCCAATGTGCATTTCAAGTATAAGAAAATCTCGTCCATATTTTCCAAAAAGTGTTTTAGGAATAGCTTTCCAATTTTCTTCACCGACTTTTATCAGTCTTTTTATCCAATTTATTCGAATCATTTCAATATGATATTTGAGGTCTCGAACTTTTAGCCCACCTTGGATTTTGCTTCCAATCATTATATTTTTTCTAACCTTCTCCTTTTTACCTTCCCAAAAAAATTGGATATTTTACTTTCCATTTCTTTAATTTGTTCATCTCCAATTGACTGAGTGCTGGTTATAAACGTGAGTTTTGGTATAACTAGCGTCTGTATGCCTACTGTGCTCCCAATGACTGTTCATTTTCTTTTTTTCCCTTTTTTTTAACATATCATCAATTGTTACTTTTGTTCTCTCCCAGTTTAAATTATTACATACATTTATATAAGTATTAGAATGCATTTTACACTATTTCTTTTCCAATTTATTCCTAAGTTATAACCTTTATTCCTATTTTGTCCTTACCAAATTCCTTCTGTTTTCCGTCTGTTTAATTTAAGCCCCGAAACATCTCCAAAGTTTTCAACGATTTTTAAAACATTTCTGACATCAGGTTATTTCAAAAACAATGTTGAATCATCAGCTAACTGTGCTAATTTTATCATATGTCTGTTAATCATAAATCCTTGCTTGATCTAATCAATGCTAACAAACCTTCAGGCCTTGATACTGTCCCTCCCTAATTCATAAAAGGGGTTTCCTTGTCTTTTGTTAAGCCACTCTATTTATCTTATTGGGGGAGACAGGCAAGAATGTGTTAATATATGTTATGAGAATCTAAGGAAAATCTCAATCTTGCCTAAAAGATAGGGAATGATTTGTAATACCTATCAAACTGTATCTCTGCTCTTTTCGAGGAGGGTTGACTCTGGGACACTACATCCTAACCTATATTTCGATTAATCTCCCATTATTAATGTTTCTAATCACAAACACTTAGATTTGTTTTTCAACAGCAAAGCTATGGACTGACAACATAAACAATAAATACGAAAAATAATTAATATACTAAGAATGCATTAATAAAAATAAAACTCTTGAAATTATATATATCACATGTATACGTCCAATTCTAGAATATGCAAATAGTGAATGAGCAAATTGTACGCAGAATGAATTCAATGTCTTAGAATAAATCCAACTTGAAGCAGTACGTATGAATTCGGGTTTAAGACGTAGAACAAGTTATGATATTTTATAGAGATAATCTGGTTTTATATCACTAAATAGGAGAAGATTTTTGAAACAAAATATTGCTTTTTATAAAATACATAATAAGAAATGCCCCTCTAAAGTATATGATATAATTTAAACGTACATAAACAACAATACTGACAATTATCATCTTCGCCACAATATAATTTTTGATGTCCCAATACCGAGAACGCAATTATGATATGCCAGTTTTTTTTCCCGAAACTAATCTCTGATTAGTAATCCAACTTGCCTGTATCCCACAAAGACATCTATCAATACAAAAATATTTTTTTTACACTTCATCTGATATGGTTCCCAATGTACTAATATTTTCAAAAATCATGGTGACCGAAAATTAAAGATTACTTTATTTCAACTAAGAAACTGTACCAGTAATCTGAATTCAGATATGTTTGAATCTTCACCTAATTGACACCTCTGTCTGCCCATGTAATACTCATACTTTTCTTTATGTATGTGAAAGATGAATACAAGTATGTTGGAGAAGGTTCATGGGTTCATCATAATAAAAGACACTTTTATAAAATACAATCATTTATATATTAATCATCACATGACACAGACTTGTACGTTTAGTATGTGCTGTTCACCAGCACAATTTTACTGATGTTTGTGCAAACTGGTTTCTGTATGAACCATCGGCAATATATATAGATATATATATACTAACACGCAATAAGCTGTTTACCATAATACATGCATATGTTTTGTT